GTAGAGATGTTGAAATTATCGAATGGATTGCATAACACCCGAATCATCAGCCAGAAGAAGAAGCAATCAAATGCGCAGCCGGGAACGTTTGGAAAAAAAATAAAGGAATACTAAAGGGGAAAAAATTAATTAACATATTTTTATATTAAGTTGTCTTGACGAAAGCCATCCGAGCGTTTGCATATAATTAAGGGATTTATGAACGCAATAGCAATAACGTTCGTAGATAATAACAGTGTCTATTTGAAAGAACTTTATTTTGAGGCTGGGGTACGTAAATAGGTAAATTGGGAAGAAACGTCATGGTTCTTAGAATTATGAACTAGTACCTCTCAAGAATTTGTAAAGCTTATATAAAAAAGGGGTTTTTGAAGATACGATTGAAACTATAATGGTTTTAGACAGTAAGCTGAAATAATGGTATAAAAATAGGGGGGTTATAGAAGACTTGCTTTAAAATAAATATTGTGTATATAATATGATATTTAATAATAAAAATGAAAAATATAACACACAGCTTTAAATAACTTAACACAAATGATAAGACAATTGAATCATTTACGTAAAGATTCGGCACACTTTCCAAAAGTTCTGGTCTCGCCCCTCCAAATACGTATTTATACACTCCACAAGCGGCTTATGGGCGGTTCAAAATCAAAATCGAAAACCCAACCCAGTCGCGTTCCAACTGACGCAAATGAAGGCACCATAAATTGTATATATATATATCAGCGGTATAACGAAATCGACCCCCGGGCAATACGTGTACATAAGTGCATTATTAGCGCTTTCATGGAATTGGAAATGGAAATGTCAAATGGGCGCTGGATACAGAGTGCGTAGAAATAATAGACTGCCGACTGCGACTTCGAATGTCGACTATTGGCCAAAGTCGAGTAGATCGGTCTCTCTGACATATTGGCATATATAGCCGCCCGGCCATTACAATTATTATTACATATTAACATTTGTAGCATTCTTACATACTTAATACATTATTACAGTAATTTAATAACATGTTCTCATGGTCAACCTGCTGTTCTGGCCGTTCTGGCCGCTCTGGAGTGCCAAGTGGATTCCATGGATTGCCCATGCCCAGTATCACCCCGCTGCATATTTTAAAGAGCCGCCACCGCCAGCGATTACATTGTAGCCAAGATCTTAGAGTTAAGAACCAACAACAACGGGAGGTCATAATGAACGACACTTTACGGGCATTACGCTCTAGCTCCATTGATGGCTCAATGGGGTTTCGATCCCGGTCAAAACGAATCAAATCGCAGAAACAGATACCGATGCTGATACAGATACAGATACAAACATCAAATATCACGATTTTCAGCTGTCACCCTGAGCTGCCTTAGATGCGGATGCGGACATTTGAGATTGGTTCGGTTCGGTTTGGGACTGCGACTGTGACTGCGACTGCGACTGCGACTGCCCCGTGGAAAGTGAAAATGCATCGGTCTAATTATAACACGTGATATCATCGGACGCGCATGATTTATGCGCAACTGCACCAGATCCGGCAACAACAATCGCCCAGAACTTGATTGGATTGTCTTGGATTGCGCACCTCCGCCCCGGGGTGTATCTCATAGCTCAAGTTCAATGTGGAAGCGGCTAATCCGAGCCGCCAGACAAGGCGAACCCTTGAAAATGGAAGCGCCTCAATCGCCATCTAATGCACAGAGAAAATAATCTATTATCTGGGGTTAAATGCGAAACTAAGTTATAGGTTTTCCAAAAAAAATTTGGATTCTATCTTAATGTCAAGGGAGTTCTTCAATGAAATTTTAGATTATAGTTTTCCAAGGTAAATACACTAAATACATGGATCTTAACCAAATATCAAAGGATTTAGGTGATTTTTTACACCAACGAACTCTTTATAAAATATAGAAAAATTGTGGAAAAAAGGAATGAAATTCTAATTAAAGTAAAAAACTATATATGCATATACTATATATACTACTACTATGATATTATATACTATATAAAACCAAAAAAATCCGTTCTTAATAAATTTTTAAATTATTTTGAAAGGTATTCTCTACGAATTTTCACATTTAAACATATCTTTTTCGAACTTAAGGTGTTATAAGGTTAAATAAGAAAACATGTTAATTTTTTTTGCCGTGTAGGGGGCCTCCATCATCCACCCGATACGCCTCTGGACACCCAAAACCGCAAACCTCGACGTGCAAATGTCTATGCAAATGCGGCACCCTCGGCACTTGGCTCCCCCTCACCTTCGAATCGGCGGCTTTTGCACAAACAATTCCATTTCGCTTTTAATTTCTTCGCGCAGCTTTTTTTCGTGTGTGTTTGTCAACTAAATTGGGTCTAGTTTATGCGGTTTTTATGAATCTGACCTTAGTCATGATCATGAAATGCTCTGAGCCGATCCACTGGGCTGGACTGGGCTGCAATTAGGGCATGAATGGGGAAGCTCAGTGCCAGTTACCCACTGAAAAAAGGGGCTGGTGATTGGATAACAAGAGCAGGAGATTGGGGTGATTGCATGAGATGAATTCAAATGGTGGCCATAGTTTGTTAATATAAGAACTTGGCACAGAAAAAGGTTCTTAACATTAAACATTGTATAATAATTTTAAGCTACATTCTATATTTACCTTATTCACTTATGATGATTCTCATAGTCTTTCCTATAAATATATATTTCAAAATATAAATGTACTTGAAAGTAAAAAAGTAATATGAGAACTTGGCGCAGTAAAAGATTCTAAGCATTTGAAATGGTATAAGAATTTAAAAAGACCTTGTATGTCTTATTAATTCACTTAGAAGAATCATCATTATCTTTCCGATATATATATATTTTATATTGTAAATGAACCCGAAAGTGATAAAGGTAATACAAGAACTTGGCACAGAAAAAGGTTCTTAACATTTAAAATTGTATAAGAATTTTAAAAACCCATTAAAAGCTCTCCGAAATATGTATTTTAAATTAAAATTATACTTGAAAGTTATAAAAGTAATACATGAACTGGTGACAGAAAGAGAATTTATAAATACCTTGTATATTTACATAAATCACTTAAAAGAATCATCATAATCAATAACTTGTATACTTACTTAACTCACTTAAAAGAATCATCGTAATCTTTGCGATAAATATAAATTTCACATTAAAACTGCACTTCAAAGTGAAAAACGTAACAATAAAATATATTTACTTTTAAATGAATTTACTAAGTAATTTCCAATAAGGCTTAATCTTTTTAGGAACACTACAAGGGATGACACAAATGGCTTTAAGGCTTATTTAATGCGAATGTTTCACCCAGCAGTGACTTGACAGAAGCTAACGAACCTAAATCTTATTTGATTGACTGAGTAGAGTTGCCAAACTGGCATTCTAGGCCCGACACGTGATACCAATACATGAAATGAACCCCAAAACGGCCGACTATTGACACATTGGCTTGGCTTCAAACAAGCTCTGAATCAAGTTCAAAGTCAAACTAATTATCAGCAATCTAGCTAATCAATAAAAACGCCAGCGAGCACACATAGCAAAATACCCCCGAGCGGCAAACGCCCAAAAAACATGAAACATGTTTGGTTTAAGTTTGGGTTTATACTTAGTTGTATCTTTTTTCGTTACTCCAGTCAAACTACTTACACCGACTGACTACAAAATCCCAAACACAACACACATAAATGCAAATAAATAATTAAAAGCAAATACAGCAGCGACCAGCAATATTTTGGCAGGGAACTTGTTTAATTTGCATAAAGTCGCACAAATAAAAACGATGCAATTAAAAAGGCGCGCGCGTAGATCCAGTCAGCTGATGATGGGTTCGGATTGGCTGGGATTGTACTTTGTGGGGGAAAATATGGCCAAAAAGGGGGCTTAGGGGATGGGATCGGTTCGGATCGGATCGACAACTGGAGCCGGCAGTCGGGTAAATTTAAATACATTTTTTATATGCACTTTGTTGACTCTTTTCGCCTCGCCGCTGTTTAATATTGCTCGGAATTCAGGAATCGGAATCGGAATCCACCGTCTCGAAACTAGTTCGTCGCAGAATTAGTGCAGTAAATAAACAAAAAAATCGAAAAAGAATATAATGTATAAAAATATGCACGCCTGTGTGCGAAATGAATATGTACGTACTACTAAAATGAGCTTTATTTAGCGTGTTCTATTGAAAGGACAATAAACTCTCGGCGAAACGTCAAGGTCAACCACATCGCATTAGAAGACTGCGATCGATTCTTATTCGGGTCGCTTTAGACATCTGTATTTGGGTTCTAAATTCAGCTCAACTCGACTGATTTGGGTATGCAAATTGCACCAGAATTGACAACTGATCATCTCTGCTGGGGCATCATAAATAATATCTCATTTAGTGCAATTCGAAAATAGTTCCAGTATAAGTAGATGTTGAATTGTATGACAATCTTTCTAAGGCAACCTGCCATTTCTATATGTATTTTGATACATTTATTTATAGTCCTGACAATAGGTTTTACAATTGAAGTAAATTAACTTTCTAGAAAACCACAGACTAATACATAAAAGTCAACCGATCTGAAGTGATTACTTTGTTTTACTTCCGAATCTAAAGTTTTAGGGTAAGGGAACTTTGAAATATACAAAATAATAAATATATATATATTTTTAGCATTTAAAATTAACTTCAGTTAACTTTTGTAAGAATTGCAGGTTCTTTTTTAGAAAATCACAGACTAATACATAAAATTCAAACGATTCTGAAGTAATTAATTAAGTTAATTAATTTAGTTTTAAATTACTTTCAAATCCGAATGTTGTTTCACGGTAAGTATGTATTTAAATATAACATTTTTTATATTTATTTTGCTTTACTTATGCTCCTTTAGATAGAATTTAAAATTAGCTTTGCAAGAGCTGAAAATTTATTTCCTTAGAAAACCAGATAACAAAGAAAAGGCAATCGCTTTGGAAGTAGTTACTTCGTTTTATTTAGTCCCAAATTACTTCCTTGTGGTTCACGAATATTAGATGAATTGTAGATGTTATTTCGACTGGTTTCAGGATGGAGCATGGTGGGTAGTATTCAACCCCTCCAGGGGATCCCCTACTATCTGGCCTAACAGCAGGGATACCCACAGTAGCAGCCGCCACAGGGTCCACAGGCATAGCATGGCCCGCAGACATTGGGTCCATAGCAGGGTCCACATCCTCCGCCGCATGGTCCACAGCACGGTCCGCACGGCCCACAGCAGGGTCCACAGCAAGGTCCACAGGGTCCGCAGCACATGATTAATCCGTAAAAGTTCTAAAGAAAAATAATTACCAAGTTTAAAGTTTGTAATTTTTTTTTTGGTTGAAATTTTTACACTTTTTACTCACATTGAACCGAACAAAAAGAAATAATTTGAGACTACACAACAAATTTGGATGTGTTCAGGCCGAAAGGACAAATAAGAATGATACAGAATGGGAAAACCAGGGGTATATTGGTTTCAAAAGTGTGACAGTCGAAGCTATGGGTGCTTTATAAATTGTTTCAGATCACAACTTAGGCTTATAACTTTGAAATCTAATGTTAAATAAAATAAAATGTAATTAAATTAGATTATATATATAAATTTATAATCCTTAGGCAGTTCATCATAACTTTAACATTTGCCTGAACCGCTTCTTTTCTCGCTACAAAACCGATTGAACAACTGGAGGTCACCATTTTTTTTAGATCATAACTTTGAATTTTAATTTTAAAATTTTTAAGTTAAGTTTAAACAATATTCTTTATTCAGAAAGCCTAATACCTTCTGAATACCTTCTTTTCGCAACACAAATTTTATTTTTAACAGAAGGTCACTATTTTTCCTGTTCATAACTTTGATTTATATTTTTAAAATTTCAAGTTAAACTAAAACCAATTCCTTTCCTCCTTTCCTCAGAAAGCTTAATATATATTTAAATTCTTTAGGAAGTTTATCATACCTTTTAAAACTAGTCGGATAATAACTTGCCTTTGAATATTTTATTTTCACGCTACAAAACCGATTTTACAAGGGAGGTCACTATTTTTCCAGTGCATTGTAACACATAAAATGAGTAAATGAGATTTAAATTTTTGTTTTCTCGCCGGATCATGTGTTCATTGCACCCGGGTGAAGTTCGAATCGCTGCCGGTTCTCAAGTCGAGTTCTGCGCTGCACTTTTGTTTACTCTTGATTTTGTCGTACTTTTTGATTAAGTGCATGGCGCATAGCCGATTGTCGTCGGAGTCGCAATCGGAATCGGAGTCGCAGAATGGAGAATCGGGGCTGGACGGGTATACTATATATGCAAGTGTATCTGAAGTTCATTATCTGACCGAAGAGCCGTGTTGTTGTTTTCCAGCCGAACCGAGCCAAGAATGTCGCATTGAAAGAGGTCAATCACCAGCGTCGCGATTGCGCCTTGGATGTCACCGGTGTAATTGAGTGCAATTTATTTTATTTGCTAACGATTTTACGATTCTACGATATCGGTTAATTAACTTGGCTCCCAAAAAGCAGGAAGCCAACTAGCTGACAGAGTTTACCAGTCCAGTCTCCGAATGGAACCCCGTTCACATGGGCCAAAGTAACTATATGCTATATGTGCTTATACAATGATTTGTATTTGTGCATGACTGACTCAGCCGGAGCATTCGGGCAGAAAAGTATGGGTTGCAAATAAAAAGCGCATAATAGGCGTTTAAATGCAATTTTCTCGGCAAAATGGTCGGGCGAAATATCAAAAATTCGAATTATATGTTTTGCAGCATGTTGATTAGAATGAAATATGTGTGCGAGCGGAGGGTCGACCGACCACCAGAAGCAAAAACCCCGTCGACAAGCCGCACAGCACAGAAGTCCTCTCCCTTCTAGCAGAAATATTTGGGTAGCATCCCGCATCCGATGAGACGGACAAGTCCAGCTCAAAGTCGGACTGCTTGTTCTTTTTCAGCACGGAGAAAAACGATCTTATCGTAGGTCCCCTAGAAATCTTAAAAAAATATATTATATCACTTACCATATCAAAATATAAGGGGCCTAACATCATATCTCAGATCATTTTTGAAAATATCTAAATTTGAATATTCTTTATATTATTATAATACATCAAACTCCAATAAAGCATTTATTTTAGATGAATTTTTACAAATAATTCTACAAAGTGTTATATGATTCTAATAAGTAATAACTCCAGAATAAGGCCAAACTTTGGTTTGATTTCTTTCTGTGTGATCTTTTGCTTTTTTTTAGCTCTTGATGGATGGAACTCTGGTCAATAATTTTGTGAGGGTGCCGCCAAAAGGGCAGCAGACGCTTCTCTAACTTAGTTTTTTCTTTCATATTTGGTCTTTGATGGTCTTTGTTTGAAATAGATTATTGGCAATACATATGTATACAAATATTTTTATTTCGTCTGGCGACGAGAGTTCAAGGATTTTTATTGGGTTCAGTGAACCAAATGTTCCTCCGGCCGGAAATATCGAATTCGCTTTAATTATGGCCCCTCGCGCAACTTATTAATATAAGTTTGATGAAAAGTGAAACACAATGGGCACACACAGATGTCATCATCGGCTGGAAAGCGCTGAATAGTGCCGTCAATGGACCAAGGAAATCAATATCCGCCTGTCGTAAGTGTGCGCCCTAATGACTTGGCACTTGTGGGCCAAAGGTGAAGAGAAGCAGAAGGGGTGAAAGGTGATTCAAGGTAACCCGAGTAGCCGACGAAAGTGAAGAAAGCACGTGCCGCCCCCTAAAAGAAGGGGCAGCTGATCACTCGAAAAGGAAAAGTAAAGCGTAGATCGTAAGGATTGAAGATCTACACAGATCCAAGGGACATAATCGGATTTATCCTTAAATTTTGCCGAATACCCTAGAAAACAATGTTTAATTATCATCCTAACTTACAGCATATGAAATTCGTACTTCCATTTTTATGGTTTTAATACAGGAGGTCTCCTAAAATTGACCTAATGGTTCAATCAGTTTCATTAAAATGTAAGACCTACATAGATCCAAGGACATAACCGGATTTATCCTTCAATTTTACCGAATACCTTAGGAAAAAATGTTTGGATGATAATCCTAACTTACAGCTTATGATATTTGAACTTCCATTTTTAAGATTTAATAGGTAAGGTCTTCTAAAAATGATCTAATGGTTCAATCTGTTTCAATGAAATATATGTCCGTGTGGCGTTTATGTGCGCCAAATGACTTGTGGGCGTTCCAATTCGAGAGACCGAAGGATTGAAAGGGTCTAAAATAAATGGAACCTGAGGAAAGTGAAGAAATCGGGAGTTCTAGGCACGTGCCGCCCCTTAAAAAAGGATTCAGCTGTCTTGAAAAAGGAAAGTGATCGCAACGCAGCCCGATAGCGATCCGAATTCAGATCGAAATCAGGGGATTGGGAGTCTGAAGTTCTGATTGATCGTGCGACACGGGATGCGGATGAGGCTGCCGGGAATTCCTAAGAAAATGGCACACAAACACAAAAAACGCAGCACGCAAAAAAAGGGTGGAATACAATATAATAATAATAAGGAGCAAGGCAGCCAAAGGCTCGTATTATTTAATTTGGAACTGGGCCGTTCGTTTTTGTTCTTGTTTTTTCTTGGCCCCGGTATCAATGAATCGAAATGAAATAAAATGAAATGCGAATGCGAATGTCTCGATCGCATGCGGCAACATTTTCACAGATTTCAGATTTCGAGTTTGGAGCTTTTTGCTCTGGATTCTGATTCTACGTTTTGATTTGTGCCTCCTTTTGATCGTGCCACGTTTTTTTTATGGACAATTTTGTGTAATATCGGGGGTTGTATCTTCTGTTTAGGCTATAAATGGCATATTAACACATACTTCTGTTTAACCCTTGAATGCTGGAGGGGGTGTTTTAGATATAAGTCCGATCATCGCATTGTGGATTCGTTTAGGAAAAGTTTGCTTACTGTTTTAAAATACATTGTATGTTATGTGAAATAAATAAGTAAGAAGTTCCAAAAATCGTATTTATCTAAATTTTGCTATAACATTTTTCTGTCCTTAAAAATGTCGTTAATAATATTGTTTAAAAATCAAAATAAATTATTTAAAAATGATTTCCATTTTATTTAAGTCTTGTATTTTCAGTATTTTTATTGGTTACTTTTTTCTCGATTCCCTTTAGAAATTCAGTAAAGTTATAGGGTTAATTCTCCATTTTGTTGCCAAATATTTCTGCCAATGCGATTATTTCTCATGTTTTTTTCCCCCAGTCAGTTGATGACTAATACGCATGCAAGTTCCGCGAAAAACCCATCCCCCGCGCCCCCTGGCATTCCACAAATAGTTGCCTGCCAAATTGCAACTCAATTATAAATTGCAAAGGGGAAAATAAAAAATAAAAGGCGCAGAAACCGAAAAGCGAAGCCGAAACCAAAGCCAAGAAAAGGCCCAAAAGAGTCGCAGTGTAAAATTGTAGCTTAGGCAGCGGCAAAAACTGCTAATTTAACTGCTAGTTTCGCATGCTAACACACACACAGGCACTAAAACGAGCTGAAAAAAACATCAATGGAAATGCCATGAAAATGCAGGTTGAGCTCTGGAAAATCCATGAAATGTGCGAGTACGGGGAAAATCTTCCGCGTTTGTGTAATGCAGGAAGATTTTGCATGATGTTTGCCTTTGTACTCGCTTTACATTTTCCCGGACTGCTTCCACAGGTATACCTATGTATGTACAAACACGTATGGTTATATGCATGTTGGCTTAGTACATTGATCACACTAACGTACACTGGGAGAAATTTGGCATAAAGTTAAAGAAAATATAAAAAAACATAAAACATAAACATATATTTATTTTGTTAGCCCTTTTATAAGCTTAATAAAACAATTTTTATAGAAATTCAATTGTTCTTTCTCAAGAAACTGTAAATAGTACTATCAAAATAACTGTAAATATAATATTTTCAAACAATAAAATCATTGACAAGGTTTTCCTTCAAAAAATCCAACCACACCATTGACATTATTAGACATTGTATTTTACAAACCGCGATGATTTTTATTTTTTAGACTTTTATTTAATTTAGTATGTCGCAATAGGAGTGAGAGTAGTGTCAGCTGTAACAGATAGACTTTTTATGCTGGAATTTTTTTGTTATTAACTATGAATCCTTTTAACATAGCAACTATTTTTAGGTATATTTATTAAAAACTGTTTTGTGTTGTGAAAATTTTTTATATAAATACATACTTTAAAAAATATGTTTGGATATGTCTTTAATCTAAAAGGGAACGGGTAAAATCAATATAACATTTATAACTTTCATATAAAAATTTCAAATAATCTAAAATTAAATTTGGTATTAATTAATGTTACATTCCCAGTTTTTTTCAGTACATGTATAAACATGCGACCTGCCAATTTTCCATGGGATTTTCAAAAGGCGCCGAAGTAATCGCGGATAGCCTGGACAATCCGAAAGAATCGACTGATCGAAACTGCTGGAAAATGGAGGTAAATCGCTTACATTAATTTCTCTTGAAACGGGCGACCCCACGGATGGAATATCTCAGATCCGAGAGCGAAAGCACCAGCTCCGTTTGAAAGAAAGCAGGTGAGAGCGGCGACCGCTCGTAAAGAGCTCAAAACATGACACCCCATATGCGCCCGCTCCTTGGGAGGAGGGGGTGGAGGGGGAGGTGGGCGGAAGGGGGAGGGGACAGCGTGCGAAAGTGAAATCGAACCTTCGCTGCCGGCGTTTGCGCTTTTAGCCAGCAACAAAAACAACGAAGCCGGGCCGGTTTCAAAGTTTACGAGGGGCGCGATTGCACAGTGTTCCAAATTCCGTTAAATTGAATTTGATTTTACATTACATACGATGGTATTATTATAAAAACATAGGATATAAAGTAACTTTAAAAAAATTTTAAAGTTTAAAAAAAGTTTAAACGTGTATTTTTCATTACATACTGGCGTTGGAGTTTTTTTAAAACCAATAAAGCAACTTAAAAAATATATATCATATTTAAAAATAATAACTGAAATGCAATTGTAAAAAGTTCCAATGTATCCTTTTTCTGTTAAAAAAAATTTTGGGTACCTTCAAATATTTAGACAGAATTGGAAAATTACTTATATTAATATACGTGCTAAAATAGTAATACATTTTAAATAGTTTGAGAATTTTATAAATGTATGCTTTTGTATACATTCATCTTTATGCTTAAGAATATATTATATATTACAAAATTGAATAGGACTATTTTAAACATTTCCAACAAGATTATATTTGAAAAAGTTTTATGGCTCTTATAAATACCCAAAAATCTTATATGGCTCTTTTTTTAATATTCAAGAATTAAAGTACACTTAGTACTGATTTAGGCAAAAATGAAGGGACTTGTATTTTTTTATAATTTATAAAAATCCAGTTCAATAATTTCGAAATAATTTATCATGAAGCACTGTGAGCCGGAGACTCAACTTTGAACAAGTGAAGAGTGCGACGGGCGCCGCTGCTGCCTTCAATTAATAATAACAAAAATACGAATTGTAAAAGTTTCGCATTTATTTTTACATACGGTGAATGAAAATCCGTTTCGGTTTTAATTTTGGCTCCTCGCAGGCAGCGCAGCTTTGATTTTTGGCCCGGTCACTGAACTTTGTCCGACTGGACTTTCGTCATGAAAATGTTTGCATACGTGAGAGACCGCCGATGACGCGGTGGCCGGGCCCTAATAAATATAATTACCCATCGATTGCCGGGTGGGTGGGCGACAATGAGTCGGCTTTTCCTCCGAATCACGAGCAGTTGGGGCTAAATGCGGACGGGGTCTTAACTCGGTCATAATCCAGGTGAGCTTGCGATTTTCGGTTATTTGTTTTAATTTAAAATCATTGTTTTCCTCTAATTTAAGCCTTGCAGTGCCAAAAATATTCCAAATAATATTTACAAGGAGATTTTTAAAGGCAAATTCAAATAGATATTTTAAAGAAAACCATTATAAAAATATCAATTGATCTATTTATAGTATTTAAGTTCAGCTAGATGTTGTTTATTATTTAATAGTCCAGAAACAGAGAATAAAAATTTAACATGTTGTGAAAATGTTTTTCAAACATCTTGTCCAGAATTTCCCTCGCCGACCGTGAGATTGCGGCTTAGCGATTCCAGGGGCAATTGGCAATGCAAATCAATTTTCAGATCTCAAGAAATATGCAGCTTTAATTAGTTAATAAGCGGCGCTGGCTCGCAGCTGACACCGTCGCGACATGGCCATGGCTTTGGTAGTTACCGTGGCTACTGGCTATGGTCTATGGTCTATGGGTATGGGTATGGCTACCCAGGATTCCTCAGACGACGCTGATAAAGCCGGACTGGACCACAAATGGGCGTCGAGCGCAATTAGCGCCATATATCAATTACCGAGCAGTGCTCCACTCCACATTACGTATACGCAGGCGACGCGCGGCTAAAGTGTTTTCATTATAAATCATTTATTCAAATTGCATATTAGAGCGACTGGTTGTGGTCAGCACCTCGGCGCTGCTCCGATTGTGTTCCGGCGTCAGGTCTCGTTGGGAACAGCTGATCGATGGATCGGCTAATATGTACAACCATATAGCGCCGGGCAGTGATAACCACCTGACGCCTCCCAAGCGGACAGCTGTCTCTGTCTGGCAGCGATCGTCTAGCATAAACAATATTCAAATTAAGGGGAATTTTCAAAGAATTCAGTCTTGACCAGTTTAATATTTACCAATCACATTACAGTAAGTTGAGGAAGATCATTATATCTAACCCCATTTCGAAATTATAAAATAAATACATGTTATTTAAAAGAAAATGTTGTTTTAAAATGGCACAAATATCAAAAAAAAGATGGTATTTAAAAACAATATAATAATACTTTAATACTTTAGTCCTGAAACGAAAATTATAATAAAATGAAGTTTTGGTCATATTCCCAATTAGACAAGACTGCTAAAAAAATATACATTTTATGTAAACTCCATTTATTTGTAACTATTACATACATCTTTGTGCTTGTTACTTTTTTTTATTGAAATACACAATATTTTTCCATAAAATTACATTTACAAATAACCCACACATTTTATAATTTCAGTTTAGATCGTTATTCAAAAAAGCTTTGATCAGATTCCACATTTCTTAGTCGAGACATAAACCTCCTTTAGCTAGTTTTGAAACCTAATGTGATCTTGCTTAGGGATGTATAGAAATTTTTGACCGATTTCATTAATTTAGATGTTTGAGATTTAAAATTTGTTTGTATAAAATTTATTTACATCCCTAATTAGACGACGAACTGCAAATTCAACCATTTGGTTGAGATCCACATTTTGGAACGGTGTGAAAAGACTTTTTTACATGTAAGTTTTTTTAAACTATTAAGTTTCTTCATAGACCGATTTTTGGTTTCATATTTCTCTACGTTGTGTGCCACTCATCGGCTTTGTATTTAGTTATCTTTTTTCAGTTCCTGTTTTTTATATGTTTCTATTAGTATGGTAAATGCATTTATCTTAAAAACTGTAAAAATTCAAATTGTTTGTAAAAAATTGTCATTGTAAATCTGTGCGTACATATCGTGGTAAAAATACTGCATTTATCCTCAGTCGCTAATGCGAGTTTTACAAGTTCGTTGGTTCCATAAAAGTTGAAAACTTATCAAATTATCTGATTATATCTTACAAATTGGTCTTCAGTTACGGGTAGGTTGTGCGCTTTGTTAATTTTTAGTAAAACATAAGTGTATTAATCCGTGATTAAAATAAGTATGAACGTGTTATACGTTGTTGTATTCTGTTTTAAATCTTCTTTTTTAATTAGAAATATTTTACTTAGGGATAATCCATGTTCAATATAAATAAAACTAGACACATCTGGAAAAACCAATACAATTAATTGACTTCATACTTCACTTCAGTGAATCGCCGATTCAGTCAAATAAGTTTGAAATCAACTAATTTAAAAGTTCCTTGGAAGTATATCATTTTATCCACTATTATTGCATCAAATAAGCAACAAAATAATAATATACTACTTTTTTCCCTTCTGTTTCGTCACTATTAAGCATTGAACTACCAAGAGAACGTCTTTAGATCCTTAAAATAAAAACAACATCAAAGTTAAGGTTCGATTTTAACTGATTTTCCAAACATTCTGATGAAAATAAGGAAATTATACCAATGCAAGTATAGGTATCTTCCCTTAATTTTTACATCAATCCTATCGAACCACCCTAAATGTTTGGAAATGGAATGTAAGGGAATTAGAAGGCGTCGTGGAGCTCCACAATGGACAACCGCAGCTCGGAGATGGGCGGTAGCTAGTGCGATCTGGCCACCAACTCCAATCCGCCCTCCTCCTCCATTTTGCTGAGGAACTTGATGACCCGTTGGTGGGGTTCCGATTGACGGATCATGTCGATTAGGGCCAGCAGCTTCTTGATGCCGATGCACACCCGCTTGCCGGCCATATTTCTGGCAATATTCTGCAGCTCCTCCGCACTGAAAAAATCCGAGTCCTCCAGCACGGCGAGCACATGCTCGGGGTTCGAGAGATTGGACACATGCAACACGGACGTGAAAGCCGGCAGCATTTCCATCTCTTCGAGGACATCTTTTCGGCTGGAAGTGCACAGGATAAGCAGTTTTCGACCCTTGGGCGGCTGCTTCTTTAGCAGCACCAGTAGGGCCTGCAGAGTGAGATTGGAGTACCTGGGTCCGATCGGCCCGTAGTCCAGTAATCTTTCCACATTGTCCACCACAATGCAGCTCAACGTGGAGCGATAGGCGTCGTCGAAGACCTTGCGGATGTGCAGGCACTTGGCAGACTCCGTGAATCCCACCATATCCTCCGGGGAACAGACCTTGACAAACGGGAAATCACTCATCTTGGCCAGATTGGCGGCCAGCGCTGACTTGCCAGAGTTGGGGGCTCCTTCGATGAGAACGGACACTAGTCCGGAGCCTTCAGTGGCCTTCGCCTGCTGCACGGACAGCATTCCATCCTCCAGGATGTCATTGACCGGTGGACCCCAGTTTATAATGCCACGCGCCAGTAGATTCTCTAACATTTCCTGGGCGGCTCCAAAAGCGGGCTTGATGTCGTTGTCCAAAGCGTGTAGGAAATCGGCACGGGTTACTCTCAACTTCTCCATTGCCTCGGGATCTACATGAACCTAGAATTTTACACATAAGGAAATTATATAAGATATGTATTGATAATCGATTCATTTAACCATTATAACTTTTCACTTGGAACCCGACCGAACAGTAAACGTCTTTTGGATTGATTCCTTAGCTTACCGCAACCGAACGTATACAAACGCGAGAACCGAAAACGTAAGCGAAGGAGATACAACTGAAATAAATAAATATATCTAATAATTGTGACCTTTTGATTCGAACGCGACATACTCCGTATCCGAACTTATTGTAACCTTAACTACCATGCATTTGTAAACCTACATATAAGAACCCTACCTTTGAATCCGCCTTAATTAGTCGGTTCATAGCCGTGGATTGTGCCGCTCTGACAAGTCCCTCCAGTTCTGCGCCACTGAAATTCTTTGTCCTGGCTGCAATCTCGATGTTGTCCACATCGCTGGCTATCTTGTTAAAGTCCCGCATCCGTTTAGTATGGATATTGAGGATTTGAACGCGACCCTGCTCGTTGGGCAAGCTGATCTCCATTTGAACTTCCAAGCGACCAGGTCGCAGAAGCGCCTCGTCGATCATGTCCCGCCTGTTGGTCATTCCAATCACCAGGATGTTGTTCAGCTGCTCCACGCCGTCGATCTTGGCCAGCAGTTGATTGACGACCGTGTCGTGGACACCACTATTGCCTGCCACCGAGCCACGAGCCTTGCAGATGGCATCGATTTCGTCAAAGATGATGATGTGCAGGCCACTATTCGGTCCCAAACGCTTTTCCTCCTCCTCGGCTTCGGCAAACAGGCGCCGGATATTGGCCTCCGACTCGCCCACGTACTTGTCAAGGATCTGCGGCCCGTTCACAATCTTGGGTTCGCGGGCATTCAGCATGGTTCCTATTTGCCGGGCCATCAGGGTCTTACCCGTGCCGGGTGGTCCGTACAAAAGGATGCCCTTCACGTGTTTGATTCCGAGCTGCTCCACCAATTCCGGCGGGAAAACGCGAGAGGCGAAGGCGCGTCGAAAGATCGCATTGAACTCCTTGTCCAAGCCACCAATGCCCATCTTGCCGAAGTCCCAGTCCGGATTTATGATCGACTGCCGCACAATTTTACCCTTGGAGCGACCCTGCAGATTTAGGACGGAGTTCTCGGCCTTTTCGAAGTGCACCACTGTGTTGCCAAGGATGCGACCGAACCGGACGTTCCGGGTCTTTGGGGCAGTATCCCCCACTGTTCGGGGATCCACTGCCTCAAGGGTTTTCACTGCGAGGCCCAGGAACTTCTTGTCTTTAAACTGTAAGGCAGTAAACACATGAATTAGATAAGGGATATAAAAGGGATAATAGGGGACATGTAGAAATTACAAAGATAGGATTATTTATGACAAAGGGAACCCCAACAGAAACAATAATTTTACTTGGTAAAAAATTGAAAATAATATGGCTAACATAAAATATTTGGTTCTTGAAAAGTCTGCCAATCACATTCCATAAAAAACCTACATGGCAGAGAGCCAAATGCTTTCCTGACGTGTACAGCGCATACATTATAAATCTCGGTTCGTATAATATATACTCATTCGAATTTGTGAGGGTCTAACTGAGAAGATTGCATCACGGTGTCAATTAGGCCATTATTTACTAAAAAGATATATGACTCAGCATCCCTAGTCATTCTATAAGTCAGTAAGATACTTGCATAGGTATGTTTGTACAAACCTGAAAAATATAATAACAGATGAGTTTCAAAATGTTATTTCGTCATAAAGTTGACTAAGTATGTTTATCAAAATTTAATAAATAAAAAACTCGTGAAATAATAAAAAAAATAAGTGCAGCTATCATATAAATTACTAGATTACGGTATCCCCATCCCAAACTATTTTAGTAATATTGTTTCTGGAATTGTTTAATGGAAGAGTACTGTCTTTAAAAGACTCTTCCTTTGTTTTAAAGGAAATTTAATAAATAAAAAACTTGTGAAATAATAAAAAAGAGGTGCAGCTATTATAGAAATTACTAGATTGTGGTATCCGATCCTAAACTATTTTAATAATATTGTTTTTGAAATTGTTTAATGTCTTTAAAAGTCTCTTCCTCTGTCCTATCCTGAAATTATGATAGCAGATCTAAGGATCATTTGATTTCTAACCTATACTTTCCTATTTTTCTAGAGATTGTAAAGCAAATAAATTTTTTTAAGGGGAGTAACTCTACAGTTCTTCCATATTCTTGATATAGATTACCCTACCTGGAAAACCAGGGTTTGTCCGACGGTGAGGGGCAATCCGGCGAACTGCATGAGGAACTCCTTGGCCATCTCGTCCGAGTCGTAGGGCTCCTGCGTGGTGGTCTTCTTCTGCAGGAAGTCCGTCTCGAAGGACACGAGTGTTATGAGGTCCGCACTGGCGTCGAATCGGTAGGGTCGGACGTCTATTTCCTGGTTGATGGAGAGCGTGGCCCACTTCCGCTGGACGAGCGAGAATCCTACGTGGCCAGGCGGCAGTTCCGCCCCGCTGATCTTCTCCAGCGCGAAGATGTAGTGCAGTCCCGGTCCCGGCGAGATGTCCACATATCTGTGGAGTTTTGGGGGGAAGGCGGTGTTGAAAAGCGTGAAAATCCGCCCACGTAGTCGCAGAGAAAACATAAATCCAAAGACCACTCACTTGACCTCCTCCGTGAAATCGGAACCATTCACAATGGCCCTGTTCGTTAGGGACAGTTCGTCCGTCGGGCATTTCATAGCCCTCATCCGATGCGCCATTTCAGTGGACATTTTCTAGGTATAATACAAAGGTTTTACAACTCAGCTTTTTAATAATACAATCCCAAAATTGACTCAGCAATCAGCTGTTTATTGCAGCCCTGGCATTGTATGTGTGTATTCGCTGCGAATGGTGCTAACAGAAGCTGGCTGCTACGTCATCCAGTTGAGACCAGCTGTTAGCCATCTAATATTTTTTTCACAATAGTAGTTTAAAACAACGAAAAAACGCTTTATAGAACGTCTTGCCTGTGGAGATGATCAGGGTCTCCAAGGCCACCTTATTTTGGAGCAGCTCCTCTGGCTGGAACATATTTCAAGCGTCCGTTGGGGCCATAATTGGACCCATCTTGGAGAGATTGGATCCACAGCATATGGAAGTGCAGAGGATAATCGGCTCGTGACTCCTGGGCGGTTGTTTCTTCAGAACATCCATCAGCGTTGGCAATGTCGTCTTTCCTGTCCATGTCCATGTTCACATCTTCGATGAAGGCATCTTCGCCTGCAGACCAAGGCATCCTTCACGACTTTCTGTATATGCAGACATTGACATTAGTAAAAAATCAGGCAAACATCAGGAACAAAGTACGACCTCTAATTGCACCCCATGACTAAGTAGGATTATGTTGCCCTTACCAAAATTCGGCTGTTGTACGAACACCATTTCATCATCCAGGATACCAATATCTTCCCGGATCACTAGGACCAGCATCCTCTATCTTTATCATCGGGCAACCATCAAGGTTGAAGATCGAAAACTTCGCCTGCAGGAACTCCAGTCGATTCTTTTAAGTCATTTGTATTGACCACGCAGTATTTAATTTTCATTTCCAAATTTACTTTTCCAGTTGAATTTCCAGAAGAATTTCCAAATTTTCCAAATTTGTTCTCAGGCATGCACGATCAGCTGTTTTAACAGAATGTTAGCTAGACATCGATTATTTTACTGCAATTATCGAGATCGATTTTAAATTGATATAAAACGCCACAAATCGATTTTTTATGAAGGCTTGTGAAGGTATCTTTTTTCAAAATCAATATTGTTTTTAAAATAGTTTGGTTTGCTTTTTGGATCTATGAGCATGTTATTTATCTCACAAAATGTAAGTACAAACCCATTCCCGACATGTATCTTACAAGATATTTTACACTTACTCTACATATACGCGATAGAGGATAAATGTTATCAGCTTGGTATATCGGTATTTTCTGGAAAATGTATGAAAAAATAATATTTTTAAATACTTTATTCGCACTGGGCCAATATAAATGTGCGCGGGAAATTTAAATAAGAATGAGCTTATCGATAAATGACAAAAATAAAAAGCTTATTGATAAAATGCCTTTTAAGTTCTTAGCTGTTTCTTCCAAATGAGAATACGGGTGGCCTTGACCGTTTTACTCAACAGCTATTAACAATATATTCATTTTATTTTTTGAATTTTATAGTGTGTACTGTTGTTTACTATATAAATGTATAAAAAGATTTAATATTATAAACTAATATAAATACCATCTTTTGAAAATACCAAAAACATCGTAAAGCAATCGATAGGCTCGCAGTTTTCGAGCATCGATCATTGCCCGTTACAATTTAAACTTCTTTTTGATTTATGATATTCTTTAGTTCAGCTCTGTTTTGCAGAGACCTATGCACATATTACAGAATCCCACTGGTTCCTCCCAGCTTTTTGGTTTTTTCTGTTCGATGGCTGTGCAATTATTTTCAATCCAGCATTTTTCTTCGTTTCTTTGCCGTTGACCTCGCGCAGTTAATCATTCGCATCGATAATTGGATAGTGGATGTCTCTATTCGTTCTGGCCCCTCTCCCAAAATTTATAGCGTGCATTATATTCGGACAGTTTAATTGGGTATCGACATTTATTAATTTGTCCGGCCTGCTTTAGTATAATGCCGGTAATTTGTTGGCCCATCCGAATTTGACCACTCAAGGCTTTCAACACTCTGCGTCCGCTCAGTTTCCCTTTTTTCAGGCCAATCCATTTGCATGCTGCAAGGGGAAGAGACTCTCGCGTCAGCTATGCACATTAATTAGGCCGGTTCATTAGACACATGTCCATCAAAAGTGGCCCAGGTCCAGGTCGTGGTCGTGGTCGTGGTCCAGAGCCCAGCTCCAGACTTGACGACTGCGCCGCCGGCTAGGGAATATATATATATGAGTCGGTATATATCCCGATCACCGATCCTCTCGTGTTGCCTGTTTTATGTAATTAAGCCAGGCGCTCACTATTTAAATTGCTGCCGGGTGGCGCGGGGAAGTCAAGGAGCGACACTGAAACGGAGACAGAGCTTGGGATTCAGCACTTTAAAAAACTGGCTTTCAGAATCCTCTAAAATTTATGGTAAAATAAATAGTCGAAAACGTTTGGCAACCATAAAAATTGTATCTTGAGTTTTTACAAACTAAACTTAAAATAAAATGTAAGTCAGAAAATATTGAAACAAAAAATAAAAAACACTTAAAAAATACTGGCTTTCAAAGTCCACTAAAATTTGTGGTAAAAAAAATTAGTCAAATACCGCTTTGCAATCACACAAATTTTACCTTGAATTTATACAAATTAAACCTTCAAAAAATTCAAGTCATAAAATATTGAAACAAAAATATTATAATGTTTTGTATAAATTATAAAACTTATATTTTATTTATATAACTTTTTATAACTTTTTTTTGTTTAAGTTTTAAGGTTAATATGATTTTTTTTATATTGCTAAACCTTGGTATAAATTCATAATATTCCTACTGTAAAAAACAAGAGAACATGTAAGCATATAAGCCAACATTTTATTTAATGTAAATCAAAAATAAACTAAATAATTTACTTAGTTATAAACTTACTTATTTCTAGTTGCTTATGAGTTGTTTTGTGTTTTCTAAATCATAATAAATAATTTTCTAAGTAATAAAATAAATATTATATCAAAAAAATCTTTATACTCTGTTATATAATATATATTTTCTATATTTTCTTGTCGCAAAGTTACTTAATTTTTGGGAGTGCAACCCATATGCGCCTGGGTGTATCACGAATTGGCAATTGAGGGCCAGCTGAATCGGCTGAAAGCCCAGGCCTTGGCCAAGTGCAATTTGCGGGTAGGGCAGCAGCCTCCTCATCGAGATCCGCATCCTCATCCCTGAAACTGGAGGAGCAGACTCGAGACTGGAGACTCGAGACGTTCGCTCGTCAGCGCTTGAGCCAATAATTATGGTTATTAATCGGCCTGGGAATTGGCTGCTAATTTGCAGTTTAGTTACAAATTCTGGCCGCCAGCGTGCAATTACCCGCTTAAATTATAGCCTCAAAATAAACAAAACACCGCAACGCCAACGAGAATCGCTGGACGCGATGGTCAGTTCACTTTATTTCAGAACAGAACAGTTCACAAATCGGGAAAAGGTCACACCAACAGACACACAGGGAAAAATAATTTAAAATATTTCATTTATAAGTACAGTTTGTATTCGACATTCTGATCTGATTTCAAAACTCTCTATCTTGTGACCCTAATTTGAAAAATGTGTGCAATAGTTGATGTTAAAACATAGTATAGATCATTTCAGTCCTACCAAGTAATGTATTTATATTATTGTGTGGATTTCGACTTTAAATATTATTATGATCTGTTAGGTATTCATATTTAACACCCTGTTTTAGTACCTAAAACAAATTCACAGACTTATGTTATGTTAAAAAGGAAACACTGTGCAATCTAACTTTATTTTTAAAATTATTATTAAATATTGATATATTACCATTATATAAGAATGAGTCCTTAAGATCCTCTAAAAATCTTATTAGAGAAAATTTTCCAAAAATCCTTTTTATTTTATTTTTTTTAGTAGTGTTAGTATTTTTTCAGCGAAAGTATCATGCTCTGTGCAGCATCCAGGCACATTTAGCCTTATGCGTGTTTGCTTATCACGAGTCTTATCGCCGATTAGGCCGGGTCAATACCGCACATCAGCTAATGATGCTGCCAGTCCGCCAACTCCTGGAACTCGTAATTAGACGCCAGTTCTGGGGCGTTACTCAATCAAGAGTTGATGGCACAACCCCCTTTCCGTCCGGAGCGGCGGAGCATCATCACCATTATCATCATCATCACCATCATCATCGGAGGAGCAACTATCCTGCCGCATGGTGATCGGTGATCGGGCCCAACTACAACATAATTTCCAGACGTCGACGCGTCGCTCTTCCAATTTCGGAGGCGCGCTGGCAACACTTTTGGGCCGCCAAATCAAATCGTGTGCTGTTTATTTAAATAACCATAATTTACCGCACCATCCAGATCCAGGGCCGCTCTTAACCCGGTCCTGCCCCGTTGGGGCTATTTATTAACCCACACACTCAACGGATCCCAACTGCACCGTTCTGAACCGAGGCGATCCTTGACTTTTATGGCCTGGCACATGATTTTCCCGGGCTGTGAGAACATAAAAATTCAATTTAATATGCTCCGCAAGATCTTCGTGGATTCCTATACCATCGTTTCCCCATCTGATTTAGCTGGAAAGCGTTTTGTCTTTGAATTTCTGTTCACCATTGTGGCCCATATGCAATCAATGCTGGTTATGTCAGCCCATCTAAATTTGTCGTGGGTGTTTGTTTGTGGGATCGTTTTGTCCATAATTATGGTTATATAGATTCCAATCGGAACACACCATAAAATGTGATAGGAATTGCTCTACTTTACGTTGCATACTTTGTGGGTAAACGGTGGAAAAGTATATTTTAGAGATCATTTCAAAATTGCTTACATATAAAAATTAAACACTCAAAGGTTGAGTATTTTTAAATATATTTTTCATTTTATGCAAAAAAACAATCTCAAACTTATTAATAATTTCAGTTGGTAAACGTTTTGTCTTTGAATATGATGACTAGAATATTACCAAATAAATGCCTAAATGCTTATAGCTAGATCCTGACTCTAAATAAAGAAAAGTTCAGGTATTTCCATCCATTTTTGATCCTAATAAGCAATCAATCTCCAATCTGATTTAATGGAATTCTTCTTTGTTTACATACTTTACATATTAAACCCATCATACATCGATTTTGGCCAAGTGCCAGGACATAACGCACTCCATGCCATTATAAACAATTTATGATCCCACCGGTTGGGAACGTCCGAAAGTGGCCAAGTAATTGGCCAAGTCGCTGCGTCCGATAATCTGCAAAGATCTTTTGCCTAAGTGGATCTCTAGTTGGATGGTTGGTGGACTCAGCACGTCAAGTTTAGAAAAATGAGCTTGTTAACGCTCCATGATGAGCCCAGTTAGTGTCTAACCCGGAGCCAGATCGATTCGATCCGATCGTTCTCAGATGGAGATGGAGATGGATGAGGATGTGGATGTGGATGTGAATGTGGGGGCAGGGCAAGTCGCCCTATCCTATCGTATCCCATCCCATACGATCCGAACCGAACCGAGACTCATCATTAGGGCCCTGTGTAAAATTACAACACGATAACACGTAATCATTAGCGTTGCTCCGGGACGGTGTGAGCAAACAATTTGAGGGGCCTCAGTCAGCCAGTCCCGAAGCGAGGGAACCCAACTTCGATTTGCAGTTTCATTATCAAACGGGCCAAAGAACATAATTTGACTAAGGCCAAACATTTGGCAACAGCAACGGCAAACGGCAAACGGCGAGAGGCCAATTTGCAGTTCTCGACGGACTGCCAGTGGTAGTCCGTCTATCGATCACGTTTCGAACTGAAAGGCACGACCATGACGACGGAACCGCCGATCTGCACAGTGGTGGAGGGAACCTAATGGAACTGGTTAGTTTTTGGATATTTTATACTACTTCTTAAGCATTTGAAAAGTTAATAGTAACCATGCGTTTGTTTTAACCGATACAT